AGCCCATTGGGACATGTGACCAAGATATCACAGAGGGCTAACAGGGTTTTGTTTTTAAATAGAAAGGAGAGGGTCTAATTTTGGGCTTGAAGTTTCTCTTAAAGCAAAACTTCCGTTTGCCTTCATAGCTGGCTCTGCCCCCCAGGAACCACCATTATGGCATATGCACAGATGCACCCACAAGCTCTGTCTGGCCTTCGGGTCCATGCGCAGTCCATCAGTGCACCTACACGTGCCATAGAAATGCTGCGTATGTGTAAAGACAAGGAAGGTTTTTGGCTTCCCTATTTGCAGTCTTTGTGCAGCAAACCGTGCGCATGTAGATGCAGGCTACCCTGGCGTATGTGCAGATGTTACGCAGAGGTCTCTTTGGGTCCAAGTCCTCCACGTGTCCGGGGGGCGGTGATAGTCTTGCCTAGATCAGAAGAGTGGAAGTGCTGCTTTGTAGAACAAATAACGAGGTTAATTACAATATTCCATTGCTAGGAGAGGAAGAAGAGGAGGATGGCGCCAGTGAGGGTGAAGGTTGACATGAGCGTGTACTCCATGGAATCACAAGGTTCCCACATCGGCATTGTCAGGTTGCATTCACTGTAAGGCCCAGTTTACACTTGTGCTAAAACAGAGGATGAGGAGCTTTTTAAAGCTCACTTACTGCCCAGTGTTACAGCTGTCATAGAAGTTACTGCTGACCTGACAGCTCTGTACACACGGGGGGGGGGGGGGGGCAGGTGCGTGACTTTACAGTGCCTCTCTGCAAACATGATACCCCCTCTTGTGTTTAGCTATTCAAAAAAAAAAAAAAAAAACCCATAATAGTCGATCATGAATTGGCAGTGTCGCCTCCTGAACACCTATTAGCTGCTCTGTTCTAAGAAAAGCAACTCACAGCAGACTGATTTTCAGAGACCAATGCAAACGAGCCTCAAGCACTCGTTAGCTGGGATGGGGGGAGGCAGACAGGGTGGTGGTAGGGGTGTTGTGGGGGACAGAGGGGATGGTGGTAGCTGGGGGGGAACACACAGAGGGGATGGTGGTAGGTAGGATGGGCAGGACAGATGTGAAGGCAGTAGAATGGGTTGGGGAGAGGGAACAGAGGGGATGGTGGTAGGTGGGTTTGGGGAGTGGGGGGGACACAGAAGTGATGGCAGTACGTGGGTTGGAAGAAGACAGACGTGTCAGACAGATGTGACAGCGATAGGTGGGTTGGGGGGACAGGCATGATGGCAGTGGGTGGGCTGGAGCTTCAGCAGTAATGGCAGTAGATGGGTTGAAGGGGGGGGCAGAGGGGATGGAGGTAGGTGGGGTTGGGGGGGGGTGACAGAAGTGACATTAGTAGCTGGGGGGTGACAGAAGTAGCTGGGGGGTGGGCAGAAATGACAGTAGTAGCTGGGGACAGAATTGCTGGCGGTAGTTCGGCTGGGGGGGAACAGAAGGGATGGCGGTAGGTAAGTTGGGGGGGGGGCAGAAGGGATGGTGGTAGGTAAGGTGGGGGGAAGACAGAAGGGACGGCGGGTAGGCGGGTTGAAGGGGACAGAAAGGACGGCGGTAGGCGGGGACAGAAAGGACGGCTGTAGGCAGGTTGGGGGGGACAGAAGGGAAGGCGGTAGGCTGGTTGGGGGGGGACAGAAGGGACGGCGGTAGGCTGGTTGGTGGTGGACAGAAGGGACGGCGGTAGGCACGTTGGTGGTGGACAGAAGGGACGGCGGTAGGCACGTTGGGGGTGGACAGAAGGGACGGCGGTAGGCACGTTGGTGGTGGACAGAAGGGACGGCGGTAGGCACGTTGGTGGTGGACAGAAGGGACGGCGGTAGGCAGGTTGGTGGTGGACAGAAGGGACGGCGGTAGGCACGTTGGTGGTGGACAGAAGGGACGGCGGTAGGCACGTTGGTGGTGGACAGAAGGGACGGCGGTAGGCACGTTGGTGGTGGACAGAAGGGACGGCGGTAGGCACGTTGGTGGTGGACAGAAGGGACGGCGGTAGGCACGTTGGTGGTGGACAGAAGGGACGGCGGTAGGCACGTTGGTGGTGGACAGAAGGGACGGCGGTAGGCACGTTGGTGGTGGACAGAAGGGACGGCGGTAGGCACGTTGGTGGTGGACAGAAGGGACGGCGGTAGGCACGTTGGTGGTGGACAGAAGGGACGGCGGTAGGCACGTTGGTGGTGGACAGAAGGGACGGCGGTAGGCACGTTGGTGGTGGACAGAAGGGACGGCGGTAGGCACGTTGGTGGTAGACAGAAGGGACGGCGGTAGGCACGTTGGTGGTGGACAGAAGGGACGGCGGTAGGCACGTTGGTGGTGGACAGAAGGGACGGCGGTAGGCACGTTGGTGGTGGACAGAAGGGACGGCGGTAGGCACGTTGGTGGTGTAGACAGAAGGGACGGCGGTAGGCACGTTGGTGGTGGACAGAAGGGACGGCGGTAGGCACGTTGGTGGTGGACAGAAGGGACGGCGGTAGGCACGTTGGTGGTGGACAGAAGGGACGGCGGTAGGCACGTTGGTGGTGGACAGAAGGGACGGCGGTAGGCACGTTGGTGGTGGACAGAAGGGACGGCGGTAGGCACGTTGGTGGTAGACAGAAGGGACGGCGGTAGGCACGTTGGTGGTAGACAGAAGGGACGGCGGTAGGCACGTTGGTGGTAGACAGAAGGGACGGCGGTAGGCACGTTGGTGGTAGACAGAAGGGACGGCGGTAGGCACGTTGGTGGTAGACAGAAGGGACGGCGGTAGGCACGTTGGTGGTAGACAGAAGGGACGGCGGTAGGCACGTTGGTGGTAGACAGAAGGGACGGCGGTAGGCACGTTGGTGGTAGACAGAAGGGACGGCGGTAGGCACGTTAGGTGGTAGACAGAAGGGACGGCGGTAGGCACGTTGGTGGTAGACAGAAGGGACGGCGGTAGGCACGTTGGTGGTAGACAGAAGGGACGGCGGTAGGCACGTTGGTGGTAGACAGAAGGGACGGCGGTAGGCACGTTGGTGGTAGACAGAAGGGACGGCGGTAGGCACGTTGGTGGTAGACAGAAGGGACGGCGGTAGGCACGTTGGTGGTAGACAGAAGGGACGGCGGTAGGCACGTTGGTGGTAGACAGAAGGGACGGCGGTAGGCACGTTGGTGGTAGACAGAAGGGACGGCGGTAGGCACGTTGGTGGTAGACAGAAGGGACGGCGGTAGGCACGTTGGTGGTAGACAGAAGGGACGGCGGTAGGCACGTTGGTGGTAGACAGAAGGGACGGCGGTAGGCACGTTGGTGGTAGACAGAAGGGACGGCGGTAGGCACGTTGGTGGTAGACAGAAGGGAAGGGACGGCGGTAGGCACGTTGGCGGTAGACAGAAGGGACGGCGGTAGACAGAAGGGACGGTGGTAGACAGAAGGGACGGCGGTAGACAGAAGGGACGGCGGTAGACAGAAGGGACGGCGGTAGGCACGTTGGTGGTAGACAGAAGGGACGGCGGTAGGCACGTTGGTGGTAGACAGAAGGGACGGCGGTAGGCACGTTGGTGGTAGACAGAAGGGACGGCGGTAGGCACGTTGTTGGTGGTAGACAGAAGGGACGGCGGTAGGCACGTTGGTGGTAGACAGAAGGGACGGCGGTAGGCACGTTGGTGGTAGACAGAAGGGACGGCGGTAGGCACGTTGGTGGTAGCAGAAGGGACGGCGGTAGGCACGTTGGTGGTAGACAGAAGGGACGGCGGTAGGCACGTTGGTGGTAGACAGAAGGGACGGCGGTAGGCACGTTGGTGGTAGACAGAAGGGACGGCGGTAGGCACGTTGGTGGTAGACAGAAGGGACGGCGGTAGGCACGTTGGTGGTAGACAGAAGGGACGGCGGTAGGCACGTTGGTGGTAGACAGAAGGGACGGCGGTAGGCACGTTGGTGGTAGACAGAAGGGACGGCGGTAGGCACGTTGGTGGTAGACAGAAGGGACGGCGGTAGGCACGTTGGTGGTAGACAGAAGGCGGCGGTAGGCACGTTGGTGGTAGACAGAAGGGAGGCACGGACAGAAGGGACGGCGGTAGGCACGTTGGTGGTAGACAGAAGGGACGGCGGTAGGCACGTTGGTGGTAGACAGAAGGGACGGCGGTAGGGCACGTTGGTGGGCGGGGGCGGGGGCAGAAGAGACGTTGGTAGGTGGGGGGACACAGAAGTGATGGCAGTAGGTGGGTTGGAAAAAGACAGACGTGTGTCAGACAGATGTGACAGCGGTAGGCAGATTGAGGGGGACAGAAGGGACGGCGGTAGGAGGGTTCAGGGGGACAGAAGGGACGGCGGTAGGAGGGTTCAGGGGGACAGAAGGGACGGCGGTAGGAGGGTAGGGGGCAGAAGGGACGGGGTAGGAGGGTTCAGGGGGACAGAAGGGACGGCGGTAGGAGGGTTCAGGGGGACAGAAGGGACGGCGGTAGGAGGGTTCAGGGGGACAGAAGGGACGGCGGTAGGAGGGTTCAGGGGACAGAAGGGACGGCGGTAGGAGGGTTCAGGGGGACAGAAGGGACGGCGGTAGGAGGGTTCAGGGGGACAGAAGGGACGGCGGTAGGCAGAATGAGGGGGACAGAAGGGGCGGTGGTAGGCAAGTTGGGGGGGGGGAGCAGAAGAGACGGTGGTAGGTGGGTTGAGGGGGACAGAAGGGGGGGCGGTAGGTGGGTTGAGGGGGACAGAAGGGATAGCGGTAGGTGGGTTGGGGGGGGGGCACAGGTAGGTGGATTTGGGGGGGGGGCGACAGAAGGGACGGCGGTAGTTGGGTTGGGGGGGACAGAAGGGACAGTGGTAACTTGGGGGGAGGGGGGGTCCATGCCACAATATCAGTAGGTGGGAGGAGTTAGGTGTCAGCACCCCTCCCCCGGTGGGTGTATAGTCGGTATTATTGCCCCGGTCGCCCCCTCTGGTGGACGGATGGGGGGAGCACAGCCCTCTGCACACACTAGGAGTACCGGGTAGACAGCTCAAGGTCCCCGGTAGAAGGGTCCGGAGGGGGTTCTCCGGTGAGCGGACATCGTACCTGGAACTTGTGCAGGAAGTACTCCGGCCACAGGATCAGGTAGACGGGGTTGATGAGACCCAGCTTCCCCAGTAGGGGGACGGCGATGGAACCGGCGAACCAGTACCGCGTGATGAGCGGGATGCTACGGAACCAGTCCCCGAGGTCGGACATGGCGGCGATGCCAGCGGGACACACCGGGCCCGGCACCTACGACGTCACGGGCCCACCGCTGACGTGTCTGCTCCGAATTCGATCACCAAGACTCCGCCCCCCAGTTTCCGTACTCACTGAGGACGCCCACACCCGGACGTTGAACGCACATACGCAGAGGGCGGGATTACGTGGATATAGTCACGTGGCAGTAGGCACGTTGTATACAAAAGTCACATGTTGTGTGGGCGCGCCAAAGAAAGTCTCGTTGGATGGAATGACAGGTCCCATGGAGGAAGCGGAGTTTGTGTTAGGAATCGGGCAGTGCAAAAGGGCAGACGCCGGGGGCCCTTTTGAGGTAACGGAGCTGTGCGCGGGAATGAGGACGGCAGAGACTGTGTGTGTCCGAGTCCTGTGTTGGGATGGGGAGACCACCTCTATGGGAGCATTCCGGGTATACTGACTGTACTCTGTCCTTCCAGGTCCATCCTGACTGTGTATAGACCGCCCTTCCAGGTCCGTACCGACTGCATGCGGACCGCCGTTCCGTGTCCATGCCGACTGCATGCGGACCGCCGTTCCGCCGTTCCGTGTCCATGCCCGTCCTGCCGATGCGGACGCCGCCGACTGCATGCGGACCGCCGTCCATGCCGACTGCATGCGGACCGCCGTTCCGGGTCCGACTGCCGACTGCATGCGGGTCCATGGACTGCATGCCGTTCCGGGTCCATGCCGACTGCATGCGGACCGCCGTTCCGGGTCCATGCGGACCGCCGTTCCGGGTCCATGCCGACTGCATGCGGACCGCCGTTCCGTCCATGCCGACTGCATGCGGACCCGTTCCGGGTCCATGCCGACTGCATGCGGACCGCCCTAATGCTTTGCCAGGCTCTAGTTGCAGCTAGAGCCTGGCAAAGCATCAGAGAGGATGAAACCCAGTCTTTGGTAATGTCCATGGGTTCCAGACTTCAGGCAGTCATTGCCAGTAAAGAATTCTCAACAAAATATTAAAAATAAACATTTTATTTCTAATTATATTCGCTTGTCCAATTACTTTTGGCCCATTGAAAAAGGGAGGATGGCAACTCTTAAGAGCTGTAATTCCTAAACCCTCCAATTTGAATGTACGTACCCTACAATTAAACTTTTAATCCATATCATAGAACTATAGGTTGAATATGTTTTGGTAAATACCTGAAAAAAACTAAAATTGTGCCTGTGTCCAAATATATATGGACCTAACTATATGTGTGTGTGTGATTTTGTATTTCAGGGTGGGAGGTGCACACGCCACGCTACCTGCGCTGCCATAGGTGGCTAAAGCTGTTGATCATCGGGTCCTGGCTGGAGTTTCCCCTGCCGACATCCTGCAATCTGTGAGGAACAGTGACGGGAGAGGTCTGTAGCACTGACATGCTACTTTGTATTAGCACTGATCACTGCTAATAAAAAGCACTGACCCCCCCCCCCCCCAGAGTCAGAATGGCCACCGCAGTGCCGCTCTAAGTAGCTGATCGCCACCATTACTCATATTTAAAAAACACACACACTATATATATATTCGACATATGTAGCTACTATAACTTTCAAGTAAACCAATTAATTTACACGTATTGGTTTTTTTTTTTTTCTTTGCAAAGACGTAGCAGAATACATTTTGGTCTAAATTTGATGAAATTTTATTTTATTTTTTTAAATTTGTTTTTCTGGATATGTTTTATAGCAAATCGTCAAACAAAAAAAATATTTATATATAACTTTTTTTTTTTTGTTCTAAATTGGCGGTCTTTTTTTTTTTTTTTTTTTTTTTGTTTCAAGCGCAAAAAAAAAAACTGCACAGGCGATCAAATACTACCAAAAGAGAGCGCGATTTGTGGGGGGGAAAAAGACATAAATGTCATTTGGGTGCATGACCGTGCAATTGTCAGTTAAAGTAACACAGCACTGTATCACAAAAAAATGGTTTGGTCAGGAAGGGGGGTAAATCCTCTGGAGGGCAAGTGGTTCAAGGCATGTTCTGTTTAGTAAAATGTCTTAATTTTTATGGATATGTTTTCATAGTCCTTTACAGAGAGCACTGCACCATTTACATTGGTTCCGGAGAACTTTCATTGGAGTACTGACATTTCTTTTCCACAGTGCTGCAAAACCAGAGCGCTTAACTATTAGCATTTACGATACCAATTCCTAAAGGAACTTTGAAATCTATTGGGTACGTTCTTCAGTTTTAGTTTACTTGAATCCAGATTTGTTTTTTTAATTTTAGCTTTCAGAGACCTGGGCGAAGCCATTCCGTCCATAGTGTGGCACAAAATTCTTAAACCACCCTCTGTCCTTCTGTTTCTGTCCCTGTAAACCAGTGGTTCTCAACCTTCCTAATGCCGCAACCCTTTATTACAGTTCCTCATGTTGTGATGACCCCCAACAATTATTTTCGTTGCTACTTCATAACTGTAATTTTGCAGTGGGAGGAGTAGTGCCACATCATTGGTGTCAGTGGGAGGAGTAGTGCCCCATCATTGGTGTCAGTGGGAGGAGTGGTGCCCCATCATTGGTGTCAGTGGGAGGAGTGGTGCCCCATCATTGGTGTCAGTGGGAGGAGTGGTGCCCCATCATTGGTGTCAGTGGGAGGAGTGGTGCCCCATCATTGGTGTCAGTGGGAGGAGTGGTGCCCCATCATTGGTGTCAGTGGGAGGAGTGGTGCCCCATCATTGGTGTCAGTGGGAGGAGTGGTGCCCCATCATTGGTGTCAGTGTGGGGGGGGGGGGGGATAGTGCCCCATCGTTGGTGTCAGTGTCACTAATGATGGGGCACTAATCCTCCCACTGACACCAATGATACCTTGCTGACCTCTGCTCCAGCCTGTGCTTGCTCCCTTCCTCTCCCATCTACAGCCAGCATACCTGGCTTCATCAGCACCATCTGCACGGTACAGACACTTACCGGTCAGCTGTCTTCCTTCTCCGGCCGCTCTCCTCTTCACTCGCTCCGGTAGCTGCCTCACTCGATCTTCTTTGATATTCGTGCTGCGGCTCAGCTCCTCTTCTCCAAGCTCCACTTCCTCGCTGGTGATTGGCCGCCTGTGTGCCTCTCCTGAGCTACAGTTCCGGTGGCCAATCACCGGCGAGGAGGTGGAGCTGTTGAGTGATCCCGGGGGTGTGGCCAGATGACAGGGGCGGCATGTCATCCCGCCCACACATCGATTGCGATGGATAGAGGAGCGGTGTCTCGGTTCCTAAGACCATCGGAAATATGTGTTTTCCGATGGTCTTAGGCGACCCCTGTGAAATGGTCATGTATATAGATGGCCTAGCGAGCGCACTTCAAAGCAGCTGAATGCACAAAAAGGAACCACAAAGACCTTTCTATAAGCAAATGGAAAATGGAAGTGCAGCACTAAGATGAATGGTAACAATAGGATCAAAATCTTATGTAAGAATTACTAAAAGATATAAAGTCCACTGTGGTGAACTAAATAGGTGAACAGTCCAAAATTATATATCGTGCCTTTAATCAGTATGATCACTGCTCCAGTATCCCGATGTGAAAGTATGGAAAGATTGCCCACTCACCGGAAGTGTAATCTTAATGCGCATATAGAGATCCCAACTAGCCGGAGGTCCTATGCAGGTACTGCCTGGTACTAGGATGATCCTCAGGTGGTCCCTCAGTTTGGGTAGCAGGTAACGGGAATGCTGGTCTGGTCTTGGGGCTTGCTTCCTAGGCCTGGACAAGTCACCTGGAATACTGGGCCGAGGTGTGGAAGCTCAGTGCAAAGCAATAAAGATATAGGTGCTCATAGTGTAGTATTCCAAAGGATTTATTAAGCATGAATTAATAATGTATCAAATACAAGCATAAATAGATAAAATAAACGCACAAGGTGACTGTGAGTAGTAGTAGTAGCATGAATTGCTGAATACACTGACCAGTGTGAACCATAAGGTGGCCGCCGGACCTCCTGATACGGTGGCGTGACGTCAAGGCGCACAAGGGCTCCTCCTAGACGCCTTTCATGTAAAGACACGTCTGCTGTAGGGGTGAGGCCATGCCTGCTGCACATCACTCTGTTCTATATATAGGGTAAATGCGTGCGTGGGCGCCATCTTGCTGGAGTTCGGCTTACTGCGCAGGTGCCATATTCCTGTAGATTTCAGATATGACCGACGCGCTTAGACCGCGCATGCGCGAGTTTTCCGATCGCCATTTTGTTGCTTAGAAAACACGGAGATCCGCACTTGAATGTGCGAGTGGCGCAGTCGCCATTTTCCTGATGATTAAATCGCAAGCAGGAAGGTGCTTATCCAGACAACATGATTATATGTTCGATAAAGTGCGGGGATGGTCAAAAACTATATTTTGGGAGATCAATCAAATTGCCAAATACTATAAAAAGTATGAGATAAACCAAAAGATGTGCAATTTAATGTAATATATGTATAAAAAGCGTGAGAACACTTAAAAAGCGCCGTTCATTACTGCACATGCGCGGGTATTGCGGTCGCCATTTTACTGGTGGTCAAATCAAGGTGAAATGGTCGTTCGCCCCCCAGGTTGAGAAGCGCTGCTCTAAACCATGGCTCAACCATTTTAACATAAAAGAATCCTTGAAATAATATTCCAGCTTCAGGAAACCCCTGCTAAAAATGACTATATCTACGGCTCATGGTACACTAGCGTGATGGTCAGTGGGAAGAATGCTCCTAAGGGAGTCCAACAGTGCTGCAGTGCGAGGAACGTGCTTATAGGAGGAGAGAGCAGAGTGATAAGAAAAATAAGCACATTAGTCAGCTGCTTTTCCTGTATTTGCCAATCATAGGCTGAGGGGAGGGACAAGCTCTAGCTGTATTTCATAACTTCAGCAGAGAATAATCAGGATCCCCCCCGCCAGACAGGAATAGTCTGAGTGGTAGAGCTGTGTAAACGTGGGACTGTTTGGACAGAAATACAAATCCTTTGGCAGGTGAAATGGCTTCCATATACAAGTCTGTGTATATAGCTGATTGTCTAATATTTATTTG